AAGTCTTTGCCTTCTTACCTTTTGCTGTGCCTTCAGGTGGCGATTCGTATATGGCTGGCCCGCAGTGCTTCCTTAACAGGTGTGATAACCACTCACTCATCTGGTCATTAAAATAGACCTCTGCGGGTTAGCTGAATTCTAGTTCCAAACTATTTTGAAATAAGTTTAAAAATGATTCTGTAATTCAAAAATTTTGTAGTTCAGATTGAGTTGCTGAGATTTTTTAAATTAATATTTGAGTCTTTAAATGCTTCTGTCATACCTGTGTTCTCTTCCATTTTTTATATAGATTTTTGTGACCTCAGCAGACTTTGTAGTGTTGTGTTTGCCCTTTGGAACTGAATTTAATTCTTATGATTGCTAACAGGTGACAAACATTAGTCCAGGGTTTCCCTTTTGACTTAACTAACCCCTTATTTGTGTATTAATCAAGGGGGCACCTTGCAAGAAAGCATAGTCCTGGGCTCCAGCCCCATGGATTCTGATTTAATAAGTCATAGGGGTATCCTGAGAGATCTGCAGTTTTTAGTAATATTTGAGCCAATTCTAAAGCACATGCTGCTGGTCGTTCTGAGATGCAGACTTAAAGAGACTGCATGGATGAGCCTAAATGAGCATGAATCTGTTGTGCTTTCTAAATAAACAAGGAGGCTTTATTAACCTACAAAGCTATTAATAGTAATTTATAAAATTTACCACTAAATTTAGACCAGAGCAAGATTTAAAGGACTACAGACCTTTAAGTACCTTAAGTAAGTACCTTCTGGTATCTTCCTGTTAACCTGCACCTGGAAAGGTGACAACCCAGGCAGGCAGTGCTGTTGCAAGATCCTGTTGTCACGTGGCTGCGATCTTTCCACTGGAAACGGCCAGCACATCACCAGAGGGTTGACTGGAGCCTGGTCCCGAGAAGTTTGATCTTCACGGTTACAGGTTACTGGTGAAAGATCACATACAGGTAGCTGTGGGGCTTGAGTGTGAATATTACTGTTGCAGTTTTAGCTCTGTTTCTATAAATAACTTTCCATTTATTTTATTTAAAAGTGTCCTAGAAAATTCTCAGGCCAGCTCTGCGATTCTGTGGGCTTGTATCTAGTCACCATCATACAGGTGCACATTTGATCTGGGTGCCTTTTAGGGTGTAGGTTTTTAGCACCATTCAGCTGTTGCTGTGGAGCCACAGTGACTTCCCAGGGAGTGGCCCCGTCACGTTTTCAGTTCCTGCATGTCCTTTCTGTTGTCCCCACACAGGTGGGGGGCAGAGAGGTGAGGGAACCAGCAGATCTCAGTGACGTCATAGCTGTCTGTGGTGACTGGTGTGGCCCTGCAGCGTGGGGGTGACTGTAACATGATTACTGTGTGGCCTTGGGCGTGGTGCTGAACCTGTAAGCCTCGGTTTCCTCCTGTGAGGATGGCAGTCATCGTTGACTCGTGGAGTCATTGGACAGGTTGCTCAGTGCCACCGTGCCTGCCACATAGAAAGCATGCTGTAAATGCCAGCTCCCGTTGTCATTGACCAGGTTGTCCTTTCCTTCCTTGACACCCTGTCCTGTGAGGGCTTAGTACTTATGTTTCTAGTGTTTTAAACGTGTTCGTCATTTTAAAAGGGACCAGATCCTTTTTTCTAAAGAATCCTTTTTAACAAGGGACATATATGTCTTAAAAAGATACAGTAGCCACCCCCCCATCATCTGAAGTTTTACCTTTTGATGGTTTGTTAATCCCCCATCAACCATGGTCCAAAAATATTAAGTGGAAAGTTGCAGAAATAAATAACTCATAAGTTTTAAAGTGAGAGTCTTTCTCAGTAGTGTAATGAAGTCTCGTGCTGTCCTGCTGTGTTCTGCCTGGGACGTGACTCATCCCTCTGTCCAGGGTCCATCCGCTCCCCGCCCGTTAGTCACTCAGTAGTCATCTCGGTTATCAGACGGACTGTCACGGTATCCAGTGCTTGTGTTCAGGGAAGCCTCATTTCTCTTGCTATGCCTCATTTCTAAATTAAGCTTCATCATAGGTATGTATGTGTAGGGAAAACACAGTATATGTATCTCAGTACTATCATAGGTTTCAGACATCCACTGCGGGTCTCGGAGTGTCCCCCCCACCCCCATGGAAAAGGGGTGACTGCTGTACTGCATATATGGCTTTGGTGGAGCCATAACCCAACAATGGAATCATGGCTTTAGCTTTATAATTAGACTTGTGTAGTAAGCAATACACTTTCCAGATCAATCTTTTGAGCTTCTGCATGTCTGTCCATCAGTCTTTATGGGGGAAATGGTCACACTTGGGATTTATACATTGTCTTTTCAATATAAGGAAGTTTTGCTTAATTTCTTCCAGCTTGAGTACTCACTCATGTAAGACGGTAATCACCAAATTTGCCCAAAAGAGAGAGGTTAGGCTTGTTAAATATGGTGGAGTCCCCTGGCAATGGAGTGATGTCTCCCCTCCTGTCCACTGCTGCTGGCCTCCCAGCATTTACGTCAGCCCAGTCGTGGTTCCTGACTGCTGTGTGACCCTGTGGAAGGCACCTTTGAACACTGATGTGCTGTGGTAAAGAAATACTATTTTAAAGTCCGTGCTTGTTTATCAATATGGATCTATTCACAACTGTGGAATGAAATGAGAAGAAATTTAACAATGTGAAGATGCATGTGACACAGCCCCAGAAATAAGGCCACAGTTGGAAATTTACAGGCCACTGAGCACGTGGTGTCTCCTTTCCTAGATTGTAATCCTGATCAGATAGGTATTTACCTGGTAATTGAGAGCTGCTGTGCAGGTCACGTGCTGCCTGCTAATAAGTGTGGGTTTGTGGAGAGAGAGCCCAGGACTGCAAATCAGTGCTGAGCAGCTTTTAATAGAGCTTTAAAAAGGCTAACTGCCCCCTTCTGCCCCCTTTTTTTGCTTAGTTCATGGCACTGGTAGTGAGGACTTTGAGCAGCAATTTTTATTTTTCACTTTCTCTCAAAGATACTATGTATGGTGCAGTTCTATTTTTTTTAAATGTTTTTATTGATTTTAGAGAGAGGGAGGGAGAGAGAGAAAAAGAAACATTGATGTGAGAGAGAAATATCGATTGGTTGCCTCCTACACGCACCCCAACTGGGGATCTACCTAAAACCTGGGCATGTGCCCTGACTGGGACTCGAACCCATGACCTTTCTGTGCATGGGACAACACTCAACCAACTAAGCCACAATGGCCAGGCACCTTGCAGTTTTAATCTGTCGCAGAATGGTAATGACCCTAAGAGCTAACCTTTGGGTGTGTGCTGACTGCTTGGCCCTGGCCTAAGCATTATCCATATATCATCTGTGTCAAACCCCACTGCCCCACGAGGGGCTGCTTCAGTTCAACAGCTAGTCACGGGGGTGGCTTCAGACCCCTCGTCTCCTCGCCCAGCCCTCCTCCTTGCACGCCCACTCCTTAAAGTTGGTCAGATCTGTGCAAAGAACGGGAAGTTCTCCTACACTGGAATGAAGACTCTTACTACGATCAGACGTTACATTCCAGGCCTGACATCCCTCACCCTTGACCTTGTTTTATACTTGGTGCAAAAAAGTCTAGGTCTAAGGGAGCAGATGATAAAAGGAGACATAAAAATAGTCGAATACCTATTTTCTAGGTAATGGCCTAGTTTGACGTTTTACTGAGAACATTCTCTCTTTTTTGTGTTTTAGGACCATGTTTCTTTTTCTCCACCTCTGGCTTTTTTACCTTTTTCTTGCTAGTCTCTTCCATACTAATCGACTCTCAGTTGAAAGTATTCTCAGACTTGACTGTTCAGTTTTAGGGTTCAGATCTGTAGCTCAGCCGTGCTAAAGCAAGCAGTGCAGTGCAGGGAATCATGTCATTTAGAATTAATAACTCAGCTTGTGCTGTTTTAGGGACAGTGTTTTATATCCTTTCTGTTTAGCTAAGGGGATAAAGGGTCCTTTACCCAACCTAGTTAGTTTGCTGAATCAGTATCTATCTCTGTCTCTGCCTCTCTCATAACCACTATGAATATTATAAATTACAGAGTGGCAGAAAGGGGTAATATGGTAATATTTTGAAGGATGAGTTAGAATATAACGTAATACTTAAATTAAGACATCTCTGTTGACTCCATATTTTTGCAAGTTGGTTTCATCCCTGTTTTCGTTTAATATTTATAGGCAAACACACTTTTGGCAGCAAGAGAATGTTTTGTTCCTTAACCTGGAACAAAAGGTTGGCCTGCGTGGTGTGTATGTTTCAATGTACACAGGGAGCTCTAGAATTTAGTCCTGTCTTGGTGTCCAGTCTTCAGAAAGGAAAGGTGCACAACTGTCTGTCACTTAGATGAGACACTTGTAAAAACAATAAAACCCTTTGGAATATAGAAAACTGTTTTACCAGTTTACAAGGGACTTCATTTGTAATGTAAATGTAGACAGACACAGACCGGTGGTTCGGAGAGCTTAATACAGCTTGGAGCCGAGGAGGTTCAGGAGGACCTAGGACTGAGCATTTCATCACTGTGTTCTTACTTGCCAGTGAAATCCCAGCCAAGGTGCCCTGTGTGCTCAAGGAGACTAGGAGTTAACTGTTCGGAGTGGCCTGGGAAGACACCCCGCCTGAAATCTAAGGCCCTGGTGACTGAGCGTGTTCACGTGACAGAATGTGGCTGGGAGTTGAGAAACAGGGTCCCAGCAAGTGATACTGACTCACGGGGAGAAGCCCACCTTAGAGCTCACTTTAGAGCAGGCCAACACCCTTAGTCCACTGTGGGTCTCAGATTCCGCTCTTTCTTCATTTAGAAAACCTTGATAATGAGGCCCTTTTGAAATTGTGGTACTTAGCTTTCTTCAGACTGAATTCTAGAAGAAGTGTGTGATGGGGGAGGGAATGCGTGGGAAGGGTGAGTGGATTACAGTTTCTCTCCGTGCTTAAATATTCAGGCAGGCAGGTATGTGATATTATGCAAATATCACAAAGCTACAAAGCTTTACCTCTCTCCATTTCTCTTTTAGGAACCACTTCATTGGAAGAGTTCTGAGACTGAAAACTACAAGAATGGAGTTGCCCAAGGAATGTTTTTTATCTTTTATACGATTTCTATCATGGAGTCTGCAGGCATATGGAAAAAAGCTAAAAGGGAATATTGTTGCTATGCTGAATACCAAATCCAGTTGGCTTTGAAACAAGTTTTGGTTTTAAAGTCTGATGAAAAATTTATTACAGATCCAGGCAAGAAAAGAGCTCATTTTTTTATCTTTCCAACCGCCTTCAGCCACCATCCTCCCAATCCGCGTCCCTGGCCTTGGGTGTCCAGCTTTCCCGGTCTGATCACCGTGTACGTGGAAGCGCTCGTGTAGTCTGAGCTGACGCTGTGTGCGTGCCTGTGCTTCCGCTCCCCTCACCCTTCCTTCCTGTTTTACTACTGAGTGGAAAAGATCCTGTGACAGTTTAACTGTTACAAGAGATAAAGATGACTGTCTGGTGGTGAAAGGTCCTTGAAGATAACCCAGTCTAGCCCTGAGAAACCGATGCCCCAAGAGGTCATGGAGTCAGGTGGAACCAGAGGGCAGAGTTTGGATTCAAAGACCAAGGGTTCAGCATTGACTTCTGCCACCATCATTCCACTCTCTTAGGTCACTTATAAAATATTGAGAAGTGGTTTTTTTCTTTTTTAAACTTGAGCTGAACAATTCTTGTTTAGCTTATTCAGTAAAGGGGGAAATGGTTTAAAGTCACAAAAAAATTCTTGTTTTGGCAACCGAAGGTCAAAACAGAAAATCTCCGCTTCTCCTGCCAGATGGGCCTGCACCTTCCCCTGGCTTGTTTTCCTTGGTGCACTTGCTGTTTTCCAGCTTGTAACTAATGTTTATTATTTAAAAGAGTCTGAGTGGTTCTTTCCCCCTTTGGGCTTGGGAAACCATACTTATTTTTTTTAGCCTTAGAGTTCATGCAACACCTGAAAGAACTAACTCAGAGGCAAAAACAGTACATTTATGGTAGGTCTGGGGCAAAGGCTGGGAGGGCCACCTACAGGGAGATCACCAAGACCTACTTCTTGCTGCTTTTATTTCAGAGAGAAAGGGCACATTTCTCATTTGCCTCCCAGAAGGTGATTTCCATTAGAATGTATTTGAAGTATTTACTGTAAATATACTCATTCCATTCTGTTTCTGGCATCAAACTAAAAGTGTCTAACATTCGATTTCGTGTCAATTTTTACTGACAACTAATTAAAAGGCGTATGTGTATACATACATAAATACAGTGGACTAGAGGAAGTCAGTATGGAACAAACTTCACTGCGGTCCAAAAAGTAGCAATATAGGAACTTGGGGGATGTGAATTAGTGTAAATAATATATGTGCACTCTAGACCAATAGTTTTAGTTTTTAAAAAAGTATCATTTAATTTTGTTTGTTTAAAGAATATGCCCTCAGAATGGTGAGGGGTAAAATGTAAGATATTCTTCAGCTTTAATTATTTTTTAACTTTATTCAAGTCAGAGCACTTTTTTAATAGCAATACGACAGGCAAGAGAATACTCAAATATTTTAAGATTGTATTTATACCAACAGTACGTTTTAAATATTTTCTAATACTTGAGCAGTTTCTGTCTGTCTTCCAAATATGCCAAAAGTTAAGCATTCAATATTTTCAACACATAAGTTTTTTACTGGTTTCTATGATCTGATAAGAACTCTCGAGTGTTCTGTTCCCAAAGCAACTGACGTTTACAGGCCACGTGTCTTCCTCCTGCTGCAGGACTGGGACCCTCACAAACTTGCTATAGAAACACTAACGATGGACTGACTTCGGGTGTAACGAATGGGTTGGCTGCCACCTCGATGTAAAAACTTGTAAAGGAAATTTTTCACCCTTTTGAGTGTCAAGTGTATTTTTAACTGTCAGGTTTGTACTTTTACGACTTTTGTACTACCAAAGCAGAGTTAAAAATAAAAGTGTTAAATACAGTGTGCAGTTTGTGAGTGATCCGACTGTTGGTGTGCTGTGTACCGAAAGCGGTGTGGTGGTGTAACTTACGGAGCTTCATATTACGGTGCCTAATTTCTTACGTTGTGATCATTTGGCTGACTTTCCTCATTGGATTTCCCCCCCATGGTAACACCATTCCTCATCCCCGCCATAAAGGTTAGTTTTAAGTTTGGAGATAATTGTGGATGTATAGAAGAGTTGCAAAAGCAGTAAAGAGTTCTTGTATCCCCTTCACCCCATCTCCCTTGTGTTAACATCTTATATAACCACAGGACAGTGTTCAAAACTAAGAAATTAATATCGGTATATTATTACTAATTAAGCCATGACTTTATTCTGAGCTCGCCAATTGTCCCACTAATGTCCTTTCTCTGTTCCAGGATCCCCCACTGCCTTTTTTTTTTTTTGCCTTGAAAGCAAGGTGACCAATAATGGCTTTTGCTAAGAAAGTAGAAAAGCTGGTTTTTATAATTTTCAGTTTATGAAGATGAAGAAACCCAGAATGTATGCACAAGGGAGGATGTTAGAAATTCCCCCAAATCTCTCAGCTCAGAGTCAGAAGGTGTCACGGGGTGACAGGTTTTATTCTTAGCCTTTTGGCATCTTCTCCAGCGCATGTGTAATGCAGAGTGGCTGGGGCTGGGTCACTGTTTTGCTTTCGTGTCTTTCTCAGCTTGTTCGGGGGGCAGTGAGCAGTTGGTCGGGTTGCACCTGGGGCCATTCTGTTCCACGGGCAGACAGGACGCCGCCTTGCAGTGCCCCCTGAACCATGATGCAGCTCTCCCGACACCAGCAGGCCCTGGGTGAATGTGCAGGGGGCTGTCCAGGGCCGAGCATGCCCCTGCACCACTTCTCAAGTCTGTCTTGATATGTAGGCTTCCCCCACCCTAATCTAGCTGTGAAGTGGAGGAACCCTTCCATCCCTCCCTCCCACTGAGGACAGGACTGTTGGGGCGAGGGAGTGGGTGCCACGACTCAGGCTGGCTGCCCAGGGCTTGGCTGTGGTCAAAGGGAACTGTGTTTGCACTTAAGGTCTTCGCCAGTTCTTGGATCCCCTTGACCCTTTTGTCTGTGGGGCAGGCTGGTTCCTCACCTTCCTGGGACTATTCTTCAGGACTATTCTCAGATCTCCCGGGGGTGTGTGTCCCTCACTGCAGGTCCAAACACCTGTAAGGCCACCTGGGACTTTGTGTCCTACACTCTGTGGCCCAGCGGGTGTCGCTGTCCATCCCGTGCACACGGGAGGTGGTCTGCCCTGCACAGCTGGCACTTCCTCCCTCTGTTGGCCGAATGTGAGAACTGCATGGCTTCTTGGCCATTCGTTGTGCTTTCAGTAAGTACCTGGGGCTCGCAAAGTAGCTCGTTTGCTAAATAAATTAATAAACAAAAACCTACATTTAAAAATGAAAGACTATCATTAGCTATTTTATGGGAGTAAAAATCCAAGTTTGGGTTTTTCCTAATCTGTTTTCTGATCCTGGCAAGTTGTCTAGAGTCTCTCTCATGAGAAACCCCAGTTTCTCACCTGGAGCTGTGTCCCTGCAGGCGTCGCGTGGGATGCCGGTGGAACTGAATGAGCTCCGTTTTGGAGGAAACCCCATGCTCTGAAGCCTGTCAAAGAGGTGCTGTGACTGTGAGAAGCAGTATGATTTTTGAGAAGGAGCCCGGCCCGGCCTTTGCAATTGAGTTTGAACAGCGGCTCTGCCACTCACTGCTGTGTGATGCTGGGAAAATTACTTGACCTTTCTGAGCCACAATTTCCTCATCTGTAAGATAAACCTATTTCACAGAGTTTTTAAGAATTAGAAAAATACAGGCACAGTTGTGGTGCCTGCGGTAATCTGCAGGGCTGCCCGGACTGAGGGCACTACCCTGCTTGGGAACTCAGAAGGTCTGTGTGCGTCTGGCCCACCACAGCTGACCCAGGTGGTGTGTGCAGTGGCCCAGCACAGAGCTTTACCCAGGAATGGAGCCGAGCCAGTAAACTTCTTGCTCTGAAGCTGAACCTCAGGGTTCAAAAGCTTCACAGAAGAGCCGCAAAGTAGTGGAGGGTCCAAGTTTTGAGGAGGCAGAAGTACAGGGGTAAAAAAATATCTTGTAAAGCACAGCATAGGAATATAGTCAATAAAACTGTAATCACTATATTCCTATGATGCCAGGTGGATACTGGAAGTATCAGTGGAAACATTCTGTAAAGCATATGACTGTCTAACCACTATGCTGTACACCTGAAACTAATAAGAAGTATTGAGTGTAAACTGTAATTGAAAAAAATAAAAGTAAAAAAATAAAGATCTGAGGATGAAGAGGCAGTGCAGCTGACAGGCCATCAGCCTAGGACCTTTCCCTTGTGGAAATGACACCTACGTCCTTGGAGAACCCTTCCTCCCTAGCCCCAGCCATGAGTCTTTCTCCCCTGACCGCAGCTGCACACGGCCGAGGTGGGCACGTGACTCGCCTGTGACCTGGCTCGGTGGAGCCCCTCCTTGGGATGTTTGCCACCTGGAGCTGGAGAAAGTGTTTTATTTTTCTGGTGGCTAAAGCTATACTCAGTGGCTGGTGGGGGCCAAGTTTCCTGCCACGTGGTCGGCAGCTGCTCTGGAGAAAGGAAGGGGACATGCAGAGGGGAGAGAGGCAGGCCTGGTTGCTTTCAAGCCTCGGGCTCAGTTGTCCCTGAGGCCCAGCTCCCTTCTGAGTTTTCTAAATGCTCCAAGGACATTCCTCGTTTGTTTTACCTGGTTTGAGTTGAGTTTCTATCACTTGCAACAACAACAAAAACCCATGATTAATGCAATGACTCAGAAAAGGAGATACGAGGCACTACAGGGCCACTCGGGTAGTGAAGCCCTGGCACCCAGCCCTACAGCTGAGGTCGCTCGGAGCTGCCTTGGATCTGCAGCCAGGGGCCGGGCCAAGGTGTCTGCTCTGAAATGCTCGGGCAGACCCTCTCCCCTTCATTGCCCTTCCTCGTTCCCTGATTTGCCATAGGGCTCGTGGGTATAGCTCCTGGAAGAGCCCAGCTTTGGATATTCAGATGCTTCTGGCGACCTGTGACCCTAAATTCTTTGGATCTCAATCTTCTAAGTGTAGCATGGAGATGATATGTGCCTGTTAGGGTGGTTGTGACGATTATGTGAGCGTGGATGCTTAACACACTTAGCCCAGGGGCAGGGGCAGTCAGCAGGCATTCAGTGAGCTGCGTCAGAGCTGCCAAGTTCAGACCCTCTCTAGCAAAAGAAATGATAGAATGATGGGAGTTGGCCATTTGAGGGTCAGTGCTTGATGTTTCTGCAGCATTCATACTGCTTAATGTTGGAAGACGGGTGTCGGGTGGGGCTGGGGAGCAGGCTAATGTAGGAGGAAACTGGTAGAAAAGGGAACTATAATCTACTGAGCCCAAGATTCTCCTGGCGCCAGGTCACATACCTTAAGTGAGAGAATGATCTCATTGTCCTGATGCTGAATGGACCCAGATCGACAAGGTAAGGGGCCGGTTTTCTGTTTGTTCAGGCTGTGGTTTTATCTTATCACTCTCCTGATAAGTCTCGGACTTAGTATAGTCATCTCAGTGAGTTTAAAAGGAACTTGATTACTTTTTATCTGCAAGTTAATCTAGCTCAGAAACTTGGATAAAATGCTCTTGGAGTTGTAACTTCATACCCAATGGCGAAATTTATGGGTTTGTTTATTATGGGTGAATATCTTAACGTTGACGAGCACAAACAAACACCAAACAAAACCACACCTCTGAAATAAGCCAGCCCTGCCAAGTCCGAGGTTTCTGTCTTGCATTAGAAATGCATTTTATAAAAGCTTGACTGGGGCAAGCAAGGATGAAAGAAGTGGACCACGTAAATACTCATTTCAAACGCTGTATGACTTAAAATAGTAACTAAACACAAATGACTGTGTGTCCTACAATGGTTACATGACAAAAATAATGAAAATAAATCACAAGGAGAATTTTCAAATATATAAATGTGAAGTGCCCCCAAGATTTGTGCCCTGAGACAGATGACTGTCAATGATATAGGTAGAAAAGGACTGTGGTTTAGAAACTGTTTAATGTTATTAGAAGCGGTTCAGGGAGCTTCGGTGGTCACGGCAATCAAAACTTAGTTATTAAAAAAAAGTGTTAGGCCCTGGCTGGGCAGCTCAGTTGGTCAGAGCGTCACCCGATACGCTGAGGCTGCGGGTTTCACACCTGGTCAGGGCACCGACACAGTCAAGCAATGAGTGCAAGAGCAAGAGAAACAAGGCAACGTTCCTCTCTCTCCATTCCTCTCTCTCTAAGAGTCAATACATTTTTTAAAATGCTAGAAAGGAATACATAAAAGTTTTAAAAAAAGTGTTGAGTGCTATTCATAAAAAGTGGTCCAATGTCAAATTAATCTTTACTGGGTAATAAAATGATACGTCTTTACCTCATGCTGGATAGGAGCCGACCACTTTACACTCTGTATCTCATAAAAGTCTCATTGCAGCCCGGAGGGTGGCAGAGACATCACTTCTGCTTTACAGGGGACAAGGCGGAGGAAAGGAATCCCAAGCTAGGTCGTACTGGCTGGTCGAATGGCAGACATGGCCCAGGGGCCCACCTCATGCTTTGTAGGATAAGAAACCTGTGGTCCCATGATCGCTATAAAAACTTAACTATTATCACCGATAGTAGTCGTCTCAGAGAGCTGACAAATGGGTCCTTGACTATAACTTTTCAATTCTTTATGAAAATCCTCCTCAGAACCAAAAAAACAACTTTCTGTCCCAATTGATAATACACATGACTTCACTTTTCCAAAATAATTGTCTTCATCTCCACCAGTTTGCTTTTAAGTTCCCTCACCTTCAGATCTCAAAATTCACTTTCCATTGAGATCCTGCCACTGGCTGGTTGTGTGACTGTAAATGAGGTGTATAGCTTTTGAGCCTCCATTTCCCCATCTGTGAAATGGGTTAATGATATCATACCTCACAGGGTCATGGTG